AAGTTAATGAGCTTTAATTATAAAAATACTTATATTTTCCAATCACGTAGTTTTATTTTCCTTAACAAGAACATTCAAAATCTGTTACTTGCCTGATCAAATTGAGTAACTTCTTGGCCAGAAGGAATCTGTAGTCCCCAAAGTCTATATTTTTTGGCAACGCTAGAAAACTGCAGCTCCAAAGGAATTTCTACTATGTCAGATCGGTTTAGAATTTCCGTATTTCCATAGTCAATGTATCTCACCAGACACTACAAAAAATTGGACATAAATAGTAATATTGCACCTAGATTAAAATCTCCAAAGAAACCACAATTTGCTGCTTTCTATTAATTACCTAAAGTTAAGATAGCACTTTACCTAAAATTGAAAAAATATTCAGAAACAGAGCTCTAGTAATATCCTCAAAAAAAGAAAATTCATAAATAAATCAGTAAAGAATACATCAATAAATCAATAAAGAAATCAGTCATTTCTATGTTTGGTATTAATTTTCAATGGTACCACTTCTCACTTTGGCATATCTTTAAGCCATTGGTATTTTAAATAAACATAAGTCTATTAAGCTTAGCCCTCTATTATGCTTTCTAATATTAAAATCAATCAACATTTTTAAACTCAAGTTGGAAAATAATAAAATCTGAAAAGAAAGGGAGTTATCAAACTTCCTTTGATCACTTTCAGCTAGGCTCAAATTGATTAAATTTACCCTTAGCCCCAGCTATTTAAAAATTGGGGGGAAGTTTTACAAAGTCAAATGTCATCTTGTCTTCTAATTTAAAAAGCAAACACAATTCAAAATTAAATCTCCAATTGTCAAATTATGTGGAAAAGTTCTATTAGAATGGTCTATTTCACTAAAATATAACATCATCTATGCAATAATAGTTTTTTTAAAAATACAAGCCATTCAGAGTATTCATAAAATTATTTCATCTTATCACTTTATTATACCAAGAAAAATATTTACAAAACATACACAATATATAAGTCCAGAAAGCAGATGTAGAAAAATAAAAGCCTAAAACTGTTTTTATATAACCTACAATGTGCAATTACTACCAGTTATTCAGAATCTCATTTTCCCAAATTCTGTTAAAAATCTTCCACAATGTAAAAAATAAAGCTGCTTAAACAAAAAAAAAAAATTCATCTCATTTAACCTAGGCACAAGGAAGGGGCAAACGAGTCTTTATTATTAATAATATTCATAACTAAGTAAAATAGATGCCTAACTTCATGACCATTAAAATGTCTTTACCTATTCATCAGTCTCAATAAAATGAACTTTCACAGTTGCTCATTAACAAGAACCAAACATAATCATTAAAAACTGAGGTACAAAGAACCAACTAGTCACCAAAGTAATCTGCAACTTATATCATCTATTATTAGACAATCTGAGGTGATTAAATTCAGGATTAATTTCTTTCCTGTTCCGTAGGGGGGAAAATGTGTTTTAATAAATTTGTAAGTTCACTAAATCAGACCTTATCACTACTATGAATAAGCATTGCTGGGTTAAATAAGCATCAAATTTTGGAACTAGAATATTCCTTAAGGCCAAAAAAAATAAAAAGCCTGAACACATATTTCCTGCCTTTTCATCACTGATGATCTTCAATACTTTACATCTGTACCAACATTTATCTTCAGAAAATAATCCACCATAAATCTACAAAGAGAAAGCAAAATTATTTGGTTTTTGAAGAAAAGCATGCTAAGTTGATCAGAATAAAGATCACTATTTATTAAACACTTATTGTTTCAATAAGCACTTTATACACAATAACTTAAGTGCTTGGGCCAGGAATTTAGCTCAGTGGCGCTGTGCCTGCCTCGAAAGTGCAAGGTCCTGAGTTCGATCCCTGGTACTGCCAAAAAAAAAATAATAATAACTTAAGTGCTTCACATACAGTAACATTTAATTCTCACAAAGACTCAATGAGGCAAGTACTTTTATTTCACCACTGGGTATCCAAAGTCATAAGCTAATATGCAGAAAAAACAAAATTCAAACTTATGGGAGAGATCATCATGTTTGACTAGGGACAAGACCAAGGGAGGGACTCTGCAAACCAGGCACTGAAGAAAAGCAAAGACACAAGTATATGTACAAAAGAGAGTAAGAATTAATGAGTGCTTAAAAGAGTATATTTCAAGGAAATGTCAAGGTCACCCTTAACAAAACTAGGCATACAAAATCCAAACATAAGGGAAGGGGATTTAGCTCAGTGGTTCCACCGCCTGCCTGGCAAGCTCAAGGTTCCAAGTTGGTTCCTGGGCACAAAAAAAAATCCAAACATAAACTAATTACAAACACATTAAGAGGCTCGGACAATACCAGTTTCCCTCCAACATCTCCCTCCCTCTGCATCCCTCCTCTCACTCCTAGGAGTCTCCCCTCAAACCTGAACAACATTAGCCCTTTTCTCCAGCTATAAAAATAACCTCAATAGAGTATGGTTGCCAGGCATGGTGGCACATGCTTGCAATCCCAGCACTTGGGAGACTGAGGCAGAAGGATCACCATGAGTTCAAGGCCAGCCTAGGCTACATAGTGAGTTCAAGGCCAGCTTGAACTACATAGCACAGACCTTGTCTCAAAACAAACAAACAGTGTATGACCTACTTGTTCTTTTCATGTTATTTCCCTACCTCTGTCTCTGACTTACTCCTTTCCTTTTTCTTTTTATTCCCCCTCTTTCCACATCCCAATCTAATTGACAGCAATATAGGTCAGTCTGTAAGGAGTACTAATAAAAGAGTGACAGTGTTAAAACAAGTTTTAAAGTACATGGTTGGATCTGTTGACATTGTTATAACTTGTAAGTATCCTCCCCTTACAATACAGTGTCTGAGTCTAATCCTATTTAAGTAACTTGAGGAGGCAGACAATACCGAGAGGTAAAGAAATCCAAGATCCTATCACTAGAAAGCAATACTAGCTAAAAGGATCTCCATTCTAGCCACAGTCTTTCCACTTTAGTTGATCATCAAAAATAGGCACACACACCAAAAAACAGAGGCATGAAGAAACAAGGCAACAAAATGCCTTCAAAAACTCCCAACTCCTCCAAAGCAGATCCAAGAGGCATTGATGGGGAGAAAAGCAGAAGGCAAGCAGTTAATTTACTCAAAATGATCAACAAAGAAACAAACTCAGTGAGCCCAAATATTATATAACAAAAAAAACCAACAGTAGATCTAATAAACTGATCAATGAGCATAAAGACTCAAATAAAAAACAAGTACAAAAATGATTTAAAACACAAATAACAAATTTGCCAAAGAATTACAGTCCATGAAAAGGTGCCAAATGGAAATGAAGAAAAATAATTCTACTGAAACAATGAGCAGCAGAAGTGAACTAGTGAGGAGAGTTACCAGATCCAGAAGATAGGTCTGATGTACTTGATCACATCCTTACAGAGGCATTAAAAACAATAAAAGCAAGGAACACTGATCCAATAGCTACTAAAAGAAACAAAGAAGGCTAACCTAAGACTAACTGGAGTTAGAGAAAAGTCAGAGGACAAAACATACGAAATTTTAAAATCTGTCTATAGAAATCATAGCAAAAACCTTCCGAGAGTGGAGAAAGAATTCAACATATCTAGGAATGGGGAAAAAATAAGAACCAAGATGCATTATATAAAGGTACAATTCCCAATGAGAAATGTAATTGTGTTGTATACCTACAATGTACCA